ACACACACACACACACACACACACACACACACACACACACACACACAAAACGTAGAAATGAAATAAGAACTTCAGTAGAAGAGTTGGAAGATGAAGCAATGAAGCAAAGAAAAATTTGCATAAAGGAGAACATAAAATAGAAAAAATATAAATAAAATTAGTGGATCAATTAAGGAAGTCCAATATCATTTTTAGGATTAAGAATAGAAGAATTGATACGCATATATTTCATATATATATATATTTTATACATATATACACATTTTGATATAAATAGAAAATTTCCCATAACTGAAGGGAATGACTTTTCAGGTAGAAAAGGTTTACTTAATGCTTAGTATAATGAAAACAAAATAAAGCAAATACCAAAAGGCATAACATAATTAGACTTGAAAATATCAGTGATAAAAATAGGATCCTAAAAGCTTTTCATTTTGGTACGGGATACATGTTACATAAAAACAGAAATCAGAATATATTAAATGTTCAACAGCAGTACTACAGTTATGGCTTAAAATGAAGACACAAATAATAAGCATGAGAATGCTGGAATTACTATATGAATGTCAGCTAAAATCATAGAATGGTAGAAAATATTCACAACACACACACACACACACACACACACACACACACACACACACATACATACATATAGATCAGAGGATTTGTCTTCAGATTGCATAGTGTTCCTATAATTCAACAATAAAGCCAAAAAGCCAATGAAAAAGATGAGCAAAAGTTTTGAATAGGCACTTAAAGAAGATATACAGATGGTAAATACATAAATTAAAATATGCTCAATATCATCAGTTATCAGGCATACAAATTAAAGACGCATTTAGATACCATTACATACACATTAAAATGGCTAAAATGTAAAAAGACTCATAACATGAAGTTTTGCTAGGACGTAGAGCAGGGGTCAGCATATTTTTTGTTTAAAGGGCTGAATAGTAAATATTTGAGGCTCTGAAGGCTATAAGGTCTCTTTCACAATTACTCAATTCTGCCTTTGTAGTATGAAAGCAGCTCCTTCATAAACAAGTGTGCCTGTGTTCCCATATACTTCTATTTACAAATAAACCAGAATTTGGCTTAAGAACTAGTTTGCAGAGCCCTGATGCAGAGCAACAAGAACTCTCATATGCTGCTCAGGGAAATGTCAAATGGTGCAACCATTTTGGAACACTGTCATTTCTTTAAAGTTAAACATATACCTACCAAATAACCCTGATTTTCCAATCCACATGTTTTCCCAAATGAAATGAAAACACATATTCCTACAAAACTTGTATACAAATACTCATAGAAAAGCAATTCACAAAGGACAAAAGATGGAAACAACTATATATCAAGTGAATGAATAACCAAATGTAGTATATCCATATATTATATTTATTCAATGGACTACCACTCAGCAATAAAAAAATCAACTAATGATACACATAAGTCATAGATAAATCTCTAAATTATTTTGCTAAGTGAACAAGTATACACTTACCTCTATATAGTTATTTATAAGAAATACAAATTAATGCATAGCATCAAAAAAGGAAAGAGTTATGAAGAATTTTTCCAGGGTGATAAAAATATTATATATCTTGCTTGTGGTAAGGGTTTAAAGGATATGCACTTCATTAAAATCATGACTCCTGAGCCCTTTAAAATAGATGAAGTTTGCTTCATCTAAATTATTTCTCAATAATGTTAGTAAAAAAAAATAAATATGTAGAGAGGCCTCTGCCAAAACATTTTTACATATCCCAAGGAGTTTTACGCATAGTGTTTTGTCTTTCACACATATATCAACAAATATTTAGCCAGCCATAAAATCTCCTTCCCCAAACAGAGTGGTTCTCTGAAGTGGTATATTATATGCTTATTTTTTAAATTACCCAATCATTTTTTGCTCCATTAATTTTACTCATTGATAGACATTTCTTGGTAGAATAGGGGTCACACATTTATTTTGTTCACAAAAACATAAATAGCTGCTTATGACAATGATAATAATGGAAATAAAAAACTATCAAAAGATTCTCAAAATAAATGAAAAAGCAAGTTCAGTAAAAGGAATATCTTGAATGCCAGATCTTACTTCATAAGGGAAACAAATCTAGAATTAGAGTTAGGGTTTGGGGGTTCTTGGTTTCTGTAACTTGTATTCATCTTGGCCCCAATTTCTTAAACACTGAGCTGATTTTTCTAGGTTCCTTCTGGCTCAGAAATTTTGTAGACCTAAAAGCATTTAGTGCAGATTATCAAAGAGAAAGAAAAATAGAAGGACAGTTTGAGGAAAGAAGAAATAATTAGCCAGCAAAATAAATAAATGGTTCTATCTGAATTTGAAGTTGGACTTGTGCAAACAAGCAATGAAGATTTTCAAAGAGGTAGGTGACATTCCACACCTACTCACAACCATTCCAATCCCCACCCTCACTGGGTGCAGAGGAGGTTAGGCATGTATGCTAGATTCTCTCAGGGGCAAAGCCAAATCTCTAAGCACTCTTTATGACCCTGTGGGCACTAACATTAGAGTCAAGGCCATGAGGTAGGAATTTGCTACTTGACTGGGTCACCAAAGTTGCTCATTACTAAAACCAAATG